CAACAACTGATTTGTCCGTTCCATTTTTGTCGAGCAGTTCCTTGATTTTGATCATATCATTTCGAGCCCCGATAAAATTGCTTCCATTGTCACTTAAGATCTTCTCAGGTTTGCCACGGCGTGCAGTAAATCGTTTCAATGAAAGGATGCATGCTTCTTTGGTTAGACGAAGAACCATTTCCAAATGAATAGCTTTTGTCGCGAGACAAACAAAGACGGCAACATAAATTTTTGAGACCTCTGCTTCCTTAATTTCAAAGGGACCAGCAAAGTCTATTCCACATTGAGCAAATGGTTTTGCGGGTGTTATTCTTTCTGTAGGAAGATCAGCCATGAATTGAGAAGTAGGTTGCTGACTAAATCGGACACATCTCATGCATCTTCTAATGAACTGTCGAACTAGATCACGGCCTCCGATTATCCAAATTTCCTCTCATTGTGTTCAGCACTAATTGCCCCCCGCCATGAAGAGTATCTTCATGATATTTGCGTATAAGTAGGGATACTAAATCAGATTTTTTCGGAACGAGTATTGGAAACTTCTTGTCTGTTGGGTAGTTCGATTGTGAAAGTCTGCCTCCAACTCTTAGTAGATCGTAATCCTTGTCGAAAAACGGACAAGATTGAGTAGTTTCGATGTTTTACTCAGCTCCCCTTTCACCTTTAGACAATTTAGCTCTGATTTGAAGTGTATTTCTTGGTCTAAACGAAGAATTAGCATTTTTGCCATGATTCTATTTTTAGGACTAAGACAATCTTCTTCAAGTTGTACATCAGATGTCCGCTTAGATCTGAGCCGCTTCCGATAGTTTGTCGATACTCTATGCTTAAGATGTTGAACAAAGGATAATACATAGCATGCGATGCGTACTGTCTTGTTCCAAGTGCTGTAGTTCTTTAAACGAAAAATTCCATCCGTCATTTCTTCGTTTTGAGCATGATTTGCGAGAACAGTTCGAATTTGTTCACTTTCTGCATTAGTCCTGGCTTTGACGGTTCGTTTTTCAGGTGCTTCAACTAGAGATGGTTGTAGGTTGGGCCAGTGCCTTTCATCTTTAGTCAGCCAATCTGGTCCATTCCACCAGAGTGAGGAACATATTAATGTGTCAGCTAATACACCACGAGAGGCTAAATCAGCTGGGTTTACTGCTGTTGGCACGTGTTTCCAATCGCTTCTGGGTAGGGTCTCTTGTATTTGTGAAACTCTGTTTGCAACAAAAGTGTTCCACGTTCTTGGAAGTTGAGCAAGCCATTGCAAGACAATTGTTGAATCAGTCCAGGCGTGTGAAGTTATCTTGAGATTTGTCTTCCTCAAAATTGAATGAACTGATTTAAGAAGTTTGGTAGCTAAACTTGCACCGCAGAGCTCTAATTTGGGAACAGAGATTGCTTTGACCGGAGCAACCTTTGTTTTGGAGGTCAGTAGATATGCAAAAGTTTTGCCATCATCATTGGTAATTCTTGCATAGATTGCGGCTGCATATGCTTTTTCGGAAGCATCACAGAATACGTGAAGTTGAACCTCCTTTATTGGATGTGAGCTCATAGATCTTGGTATCTGTAGTTTCAGTAGTTGAGGCAATGTTCCGGTGAGCTCATACCATTTTTCCTTGGTTTTCTGATCGACTTCAGAATCCCAATCAAAACCTTGGACCCATAGCTGTTGCATGAGACATTTGAAATTGATGATGAATGGAGCTAGCCATCCCATCGGATCAAACAATTTTGAAATTGTGGACAGAATAGTCCTCTTTGTAAGCAGTTTCAGCTCTGGTAAGGCAGTTGAAAAACAAAAGATGTCCTTATTGGGCTTCCAACTGACTCCTAGCGCCTTGATTTTGTATTAGTCAGAGAAAAGTTCCAGCACATCCGATTTTTCGCGGAGATGTTCTGGCAATCCTTCAATTATTTTAGCATTGCTTGAAGTCCATTTTCGTAGAGGGAATTCATAAGAGTTCAGCTCTTCGCATAAATCAGAGATGAGTCTTTCTGCTTCATGCTTATCATTAGCGCCACCAAGAAAGTCTACATAGAAACAATTTTTGAGACTTTCTTTGATCATTGGGTTCTTAGATTGATTTGCTACTTCATTGAGGCATCTTGTTGAGTGAAACGCTGACGAAGCTATTCCATATGTAACACGTGTCATCCTGAGATGCTTGATTTCATCCGATTTATTTGATCTCCAAAGTATGCGATGGAAATCCTTCGATTTGTCCTCTAGAGCAACTTGTCGGTACATTTTTGCGATATCTGCTGACAAAGCAATTGGGTAGAATCTGAAGCGCATGATTATCGAGTAGAAGTCGTCTTGTACCGTGTAACCAACCATCAAAGTGTCGTTGAGTGATTGTCCGGTTGATGTTGTTGCAGATCCGTCGAAAACTACACGTAGCTTTGTGGTAGTAGAATCTTCCTTGAAAACGCAGTGATGTGGCAGATAATATACGCTATCAATTGGCTTTTCGATTTCTCCAGGCGGTATGTACTCCATATGCCCCATATCGAGAAATTCGTCTATGAATGCGGTATAGCGATCTTTTAGTTCTGGATTCTGTTCCAGTCGTCGCTCGAGATAATTGAATCTGCTTTTTGCTTGTGCTTAACTGTCGCCAAGTTGACTATTGGGCTTGACAGGCAGCTGCACGGTGAATCGTCCATTTTGTAGTATGGTTGTTTCCTTAAAGTGAGATTCACATCGATCTTCTTCTGTTGTTGTCTTTTTGAAATCAGGAATTTCTTCTAATTCCCAAAATTTTCCTTAGACTATCGTCAATAGACACATGAAATGACTTGAAGAAGGTTGTTGGAGGACCGGGTGTTCTGCCGCTAATCATCCAACCAAATAGAGTGTCACGTGCATAAAGCTTGTCTGTAAGCTTAATCTTTTCGCAGCCAACAATGTCGTTGTAGACATCACAGCCTAGGATTATATCGATTTCCTTTGGTTTGTCAAAGTCTGGGTCCGAGAGCTTAAGACGTGTGATATCCAAACTGTTCGGTATATTCACCCGTTCTCTGGGCAGGTAGCCAGAAAGTTTTTGAAGAGTCAAGGCTTCAATATGTAGAGATTGATTCTGAGAATCCTTTGTTTCCAGATTGACAGAACCAGATTTCACAGTTTTTGCTCCTCCGCCAACTCGAGTTAGTTGAAGAGTCAATTTCTTGATTGGTAGCTTGAGTCGGTTAGCACAGCTGGTTGTAACGAAACTGCATTCAGATCCGCTGTCCAGTAAGGCTCGACAATTGTGATAACCGCCATTTGCAGTTTTCACCTCAATTAGTACAGTTCCCAGTATGGTAGTGGCACAAGTAGTACCACCATGACCCGCAAACTTATTTTCAGGTCCTGGTTGCTTGTTTGGGTCTGTATGGATGTGAAGTAACGTGTGATGACCCTTTCGACAAGTTTGGCACGTTGACTTCGACTTGCACTCATGATTTTGGTGTCCAAGGGACAGGCAATTGAAGCATAATCGCTTTGATTTGGCTTCTTGTCTTCTATTGGAAATAGACATTTCCTGAAATTTTGTGCATTGATACACGCGGTGATCACCACTGCAGCATGGGCAGATGATCGTCTTAGCAGAGTTCGTGTGGTATGTCTGTACCTTGTCATCTTTCTTAGAGTTTCCAGATTGGTCTGAACTTCCTTGATGATTTTTTCTATGAATTGAAGGTAACTGGAGGTCCTTCGTAGCTTCTAGGGCGCGAGATCGTTCCTCCAAGAACTTCTTCATCTGCTTGATTTTTGGCATGTCACTTCCCGCGCAGGAAAGTTCCCATTGTCTTCTAGTTACAGGATCTAATTTCATGGCCAAAACGTGAACCCAGATCAAATCGCATTGATCAATTTTTAGTCCAAGTCCTGTCAGTGCCATCGTGTTTTCCGTGTAGGTGTTAATCAAGCGACGTATTGCAGCGGATGACTCATGCTTCATTGGAGTGAATTCAAAAATTGCTTCCAAGTGAGCGTGTGAGATCATCTTGACATCAGCATATCGATCCTTTAGAAGTTCCCTTGCGACTGAGTAGTTCGCGTTTGTAGTAGGCAAGTGGGATAGCAAACGAAACGGTTCATCCTTGAGGGCACCCTTTAGGTATTGCAGTTTCTGAACATCAGACAGCGATGCATTTGAGTGAACTGCTCCATCAAAGGAATCTAAGAAAGGTAGCCATTGATCATACCTTCCGCTAAATGTTGGCGAATTCAGTTTCGGCAACTTCAGGCAAGTATCTTGTTTTCGACCAGCACCACGTTGGGAAGTGGATTTGTAGGATCCGGTTCCGCTTGCGCTGTCGTCATCTTTGACCGATTCAGTTGAACATTTTCCTCGGTCATCTAACATAGCTGTGATCATTTCCATCAAACAATCTACTTGAAGGTAGATTTTCTCAGTTTCTTCCAATTCAACTTTAAGTGCATCTTCATCATCGTTTAGAAAATTTGAAATTTGCTGATTAAGCTCTTCCAGTTCCTTTTTCTTTCGTTCGCACATCGTGAGATTGGCCTTGAGAGTTCCAATTTCCTTGTAGGTTAGAGCAGATGCCTCTTTGTTGAAGATTGCTGAGACGGCATTTTCTGATCGGGTAATGACACCGATGTTAGCACTTCTTGATCGCTTCAAAGCAGGAAGAGTGAGCGTCACGTTGCTCATGTCACTAGCAGGTGATGACATTTTTAACTTTCCTCTTTGTTTCTAATCTTTGGTTCGTTCGTGAGTCGCGTTGCACCAAAAATGTTGTGCAGCAAAAGTTGGGAAATGAAAAATCACCAATCCGACTGAATAAAACTAGTGATTTGCAAAGAGTGTAAATTATTTCACGAGTTATAGATAGAAGTCAATTGATTTTTGTAAAAATGCGGTTTTAAATAAGTAAATCAGTTCAATCGTAGATTTAGTTCAAGTAGAAAGCTGAGATGTCTTTTTTAGGCTTCAACAACCGGTTCGTTACTGATAGGTCAACTTGTTTTTTTTTTTACTGACAGCATTTTTTACCTAATGGACAGAAAGTATCCATGCTCTTCCCCAAAATCCACTGCTTGTTATTTCTGGTTTTCTGCCAGTCACGCGCTGTAATGTCATTTGCAATAGTGTATCCAAAAACATGCTCAATTGCTTTGGCTTCTTTGATATGGCGACCACCAGCTCCCATTATTACAGCTAACTCAAGTTCATAGTCAAGTGAGTTGGTCACGGTGGGATGCTTGATTGTTTCTCCATGACAAATCACTGTTGAAGCAAACTGAAGATATGATTCAAATCTGTTTTTAAAAAAATTTACAAATTATAATAGCTGGAGGGGCCGAACCTTACCTTATTAAACACAACGGGTTCTTGCGGATATTTTTCTAAAGGAACCCTCTGCTCTTCTAAATGATCTCGATAGTTTAACCCAATTCCCAGAATTTTATCCGGCCGTCTATCAAAGAGAGGAAGCAGGCTAACATCTTCAAATTGCACGGTATCAATTGCGCACTTTTCCATTTGAGACCAATTCATCTTGTGGATACTTTCTACAGTCATGTCAAATGGTAGAATATTAAGGCCTGCAGTGCTTTTGAGAGCCCAGCACTGTTTTTCAACTGAGCTGGTTAAACTCTTCACTGCACAACGTACAATTGACATGATATCTTGGATAAATGATTTCTAAATCAACGTAAGAAAACGTCGCTTTAACTTGTTTGATTATGCTCCCTGCTTGAGTCACTTTTCAAGAATTATTTTAGAAAATGAAAACCTGAATGGTTAAAACAAATAATTCTTACATTTGTAATTTTTAAAAAAAGCGTCAATTAAAATGGGCCCTTCCGTCATGCGACGGTACGTGCACAAATTGGATAGGGTCGCACCAACGCTACATAAATACATCGGCAAAACTTTATGAATAAATCAAGTCGATATTATTGCATCAAGAGAATTGTCAAATAAAATCTACCCTCCTCGTTTATAGCACAGATAGAATTGTCTATGTTGGATTTATTTTAAAGATTTTTGAACCTTAGGCAGAGAATTGCACTCCTCAGAAATGCAAAACTTAGTTTTGTTCTTATAAAGTTCATTGTGTCCGAGTATGATTCGTTCCGTTTCTCGCTTAGTTTCTCTGCTTGTGTAACATTCGTCTACTGCGGTCACACATGAGGTTTAAGAAAAATAGGCCCTATAACCACTGGCTCAAGGGTCAGGGACACTATCTCTTGTGTTTTTCTACCTCAAGAACGGTCGGAGCCAGTTCGGTTCGTTTGTGACATGAGACTACGACCCGTTACAGCTTAAAGGCTACTACTAAAATATCCCCCCACTCTAGAATTAGAAACGTCCCCATACTTAGGTCTCTAGATACCCAAAATACATGAACGCCGTTAAAAACCGGGTTGGAACAATCCGTTAAGTTGCTTTTTTATTAGACAGTGGAACTTTGATCCATTTCAGATGGATCAACCTAAAACTCGCCTTACCTCAACATAACAATTATAAAACACACTCTAGGAATTTAAATTTGTACTCACATAGTAGCACGCTCAAGAAGTGGGAAATAATCCAGTCGGTAGTTAACTCAAGAATTGAATAACGTAACTAAATGAGTCTAATGTTTTATAGTTTTAACAATGAGAACGAGTTTATACTCTAGACAATAGTTTTCTTGTGAACCATTAGGACACTCAAGCTGTCCACCTTTCCACCGAAGGTTCACTCTAGTCCAGTTCCGAATAATACTCCAGTCGCTATAATCCAATTCGAGGGAATGCTCTCGTCTCTGTCACAGATGGGACAGCTCTACTCTCGATTATTATAGTGACAGAAATTGCGAATAGCAATCTCCTACTGCTTTTTCTTACAACTTTCCCGCGTGTGCGACTCAATTGTTCTGAAATTGTTCTAACTTCTTTTTCTGATTTTCAGTTCTCGCGAGAAAATCGTGCATGACAGGTTCCATTCGAAATTTTGAAAAATTAAATTTCACTCCAAAATCAAGTGTTTTTTTGCTCCTCTCAAGGTCAAACTTCCAAATATGACCGACTGGCACATACTCCCCGGACTCGAGATCGATGTCCTCATCGCGCGCTGTCTTCTGCCAGTGAGTCCCAGAAAAACCGAGTGTTGCTCAAGATACAGTGCCAGTGGTCATTTACAGAAGTTTGCAGCAGACTTAAGCTTATCCACACCCCAAAATTCACAGCCATTTAAAATTTTCACACTACTGCTAAACAGCAACCAAAATCTGCATACACCTGCACCCTTGAATTTTCGCTTTTCAAGCCAATCATTTTAAAATCTCTTTTGTCCTATTCAATCAGGAAATTGTCATGCAGCATTTCGATTTATATAATAGATATAGTATATTAGTAACAATATTTGCTTTGTTAAAATTTCTTTTTCGTGAATCCAAGTTTCACTCGGATCCACGCTCAAGCCCCCCTTTCCCTCTCAAGACTCAAGATCCATTCGAGCCACCTGCTCATCTCGCACTCTTCGCCTTGGAGGTACTGCACCCTGAAGTACTAGATACGGCAAACTGTCTCAACAGTTCCTCTTCATCATCGGAGCTAATCACAATCTCCTCCCAAGCCTTCAGCTGTTCGTAGGATCGCATCCATTCTCTTTGCTCTTGCAACCTCTTTGCTTGGTTGGGTAGTGCCTTCACCCTAGATTCCCGGTTCAAACAAAAGGAGTTGTGCAGGCTCAAGCTCACGTTCTTCGCCAGGTCTTCCTCTAGTATCGACTCCCTCGCTTTGGTATTGTCTCTAGACATCTTACCCACTCTTTTCCATCCTGTCGTGATCGCATTACGATGGGTTAGCAGGGGTCTCTTGAAAGCTTCCGGCCCAATCTCGGCCTGGAACTGTCGATACTCTTTTTGATGTTTTCTCATGTGATCTTTCGTTGTCATGTACAACCAAGACGTCAGTGTCGCCCGAAACCATGGAAAGTACCTCAAGCGACTCCATACGTGCCTGACTTCCGTCGGTATGGCGAATACTTTGCACGCAGTCTCAAACAACTCGAGTCTCCTGCTGTAGTCTATCGCGTATATTGACTCAGCCGTTGGCGTCGTCGCCTCCCGATACTTCGTTATATTCTCTTCTATCCATCTCAGAGCTAACATCGTACTCACTACTAAGAGCGTCACCTTCTGCCGGTGATCCGGTAGCCCGATCGACCGAATCTCTTCCACATCCCACACCAGGCAAAGGTTCTTGTGATCTGGATACCACACCGTTTGTGCCAAACAGTGGCATGGGCATTCCCCATGAGAGATCTCAATGCTCCTGAGATTACGCTCCCCTGAGGCTTCCAAGAGAGGCTCAAGCTCCATCATTTTCTCGTGCATCGTGTCGTTGTCTTCCAGGTTCGGAGTACTTCCCACAGGTTTTCCGATCACGTTTTGTCTCTCGTGATCGCTTGTGTTTTCTCTTTCCAACTTCAGAAGATCTTCTCCCCAGATTTCGCTTAAGTCATCTCTCAATTCTTTTGGTACTGTCCCTTTGATTTTTCTCAACAACTTGTGCGAGTGATGCGACATCCGAGCCAACCTCACGCACTTGGGCACTGAGAAGGCCTTGTCCACCAGTATTCTCTGGCTGGACACTTCCACCATCGCCATGTGTAGCGGGTAGTGATTTCCGCACAAGTTGGCCATCATTGACCCTATCAGCGATTTCGCGTTCAATGGCAAGCCATAAGCTTCGCTCATGGGAAATCCCATTTCCGCCTCAAGACCAACCTTCCAGCTCCGGATGTGTTTTTGAGTCACCTGCAACACCCCGGGCCATGATTCTACGCTCAACGCCGTCACTAAATGATGTTCAGATTCCAGTCTCTCCAGTGCCTGCAGACCACACATTCTCGAGAAGAATCCGAGAGCTGTCGCTATATTCACCGTGGTTCTCGCGTAACATTCCGCTATTATTTGCACTTCACTTTTCTCCCTTTCTGTGATGTCTTCGAACCAAGTGACCAGGTCTTCTTTTTGAAACGACAGTATTCTGACGCATGACCGTCCATCGCAGATGTGCTCTCCGTTCCCACACGTCGAATCCAGACAGCTACCCGGCTCCAATTTCTTTGCTGACCCGGGGTCGCTCGTCCCTTCGCTTGGCTCTTGCATCTGGGGCGTGATTAGCTTATGTAGCACACTCAACTTCGCCAGATCTTCATCTTCCGTTGGTGCTAACCTCACTCGCTCGGTGGTTTCCTCGATTAGACTCGCATGGGGATGTGGACACCAGGAGGGTCTTAGTAGCTTCCATATCACTCCCAAGTTCGTAGTTAACAAGCCATTTCCACCGCCCATGTTCACTTCAACTCTCTTGTTTGAGCGCGGTATGCTTATCACCTCTGGTGTTTTCTCAAGAATCAGGCCCAGGCTCGGCCCCTCTTTCTCCACCGCGTCTATCTCCATTATTCTTTCTGTCCAAAACTTCAGTAGCTCCGCTACCTCATGGTTTCTGTGGGCTCCTCCAGCTTCCGAGGCTAAGAAGGGATTGTAGGCTATTCCCATCACTCCAGACACATATTGGTATTCCCCCTTCTCACTGAGTCTCGAGTACTGTTCTGACGAGGCCAGGTTACGGTGAACATCATGTTCTTACTCGAACTTCTTATTAGAGAACCTCCGTACCTCGTCCAGCTTTCGATGGTTCTCTAAGGATAGTCTGGAACCATCTTCTTTCTCTATTCCTGTACTCTGATATACGTTCAAGATGATCGTTGAGACTCTTTTCTCCATGGTTTTACTTCCACTTGCTCTCTGGTGCATGCCAGGATGGTGCTATCAGACATCATTGACATTATCCATCTCAAGAAACATGTGGCATCTTTTCTTCTAGCCAGGCTCAAGCCTGAATTGTCCCTGGCCACGTGTTGCATCAGTGCCTGATACACCTCTAGCTTCTTGCTTCCCAACTTCAGCCTGTCATACGAGGTCAATGTCTCCAACTCTATTCCCACCAGACTCCAGGTGAACATTAATTGTCCCGCAGTTCTAACGAAGGGATTCGCCATTAGTGGCGGTGCTGATGAGGATGTCCTCATCGCCTCTTCAAAATGATCCTTCAACAAACTCTGCCAGGACCTCTTCAGATGACTTGCCGTCTCTATCTTATTAACCTCGGCTTTTTGCTGGGTGGCCCAATTGCGTCGCCTGCGAGCTATTCCACTGTCCAACTTCTTCAAGCAGTCCTCCATTTCCTTCAATGTTTCGAGGGCCACCCACCACGTCCGGGAAGTGTTCCTCGTCTTGTTCATCTCCAATGGATCACTCGTCACTTGTTTGCCCATGTCCTGATGTGCCTTCGAGATCCATTCTTTGCCGATCTCCACTTCCCCTACCTGTCCGTTCGTTGAACCTCTCTTCACGTTTACCTTCTGAGGCTTGAAGTCTTCTTCTGACGTCGAACTGGCGGAAACCTCTATTTCCTTTTCTACTTCAAGTGGTTTCCTGAGCTCCGAGCTGTTCTTGTATGCCGCCGTCTTGCATCGAGCCAAAACGATGGGCGCCGTCTCTCTCAAGTTTCCTTCCGAAACAGCATCCACTGAAGGACTACCCCATCCTTCCACTTCTCTCTTCCTCTTGCGAGTCTTCACATCTCTGCTCGAGGGTGTTGTGGCTATCATCATTGATTCGACCTCTCCATCCACTCCTTCCAACTCTTGCCTCCCCCCTGCTCGAGCCTTAAGGATATTAGTACTTTTAATCATATTACTAGTCCCAACCTTATCCCGTTTTATATCATCAACCATTTTATCCACAGTTTTTTGTTTCAGAGTAGAGCTGTCCTCACATTTCTCTTTTCTAGTCTTCGATCGTGCGTTCCTCAGCTCCACTAGCTTGTTCAGCAGCTCTTTTCTAGATTTCTCATCCAGGCCCGTTCCTATCAGGAGCGGTTCCCCGAATCTCACTACTGCGTCCCACAGTTCCTTCTTGAACTTGTCCAGCGTCGTCTCGCTGCCCACTTCTCGATTGAATTCCTCCAGGAATTCCTGCCAAGCGTCATCCTCGAGAGATCCCAAGAATATGTCCCTGTTCCCTTCGAACGTGTTCTTCTCCCTTTCCTCCGAGCTCAAGAGTAACATCCCCATATTGAAGGTCTCACCTG